TAGCGCACTGATTATTTCCAAAAAATATTTCGATAATTTCAACTCTTTCTGCTGTGGAATATACCATGGTTAATTTATGTAATAAAACGTTGCAAGTTATTTTAGCAACAAAGTTTGGTCAAATCAATCGCAAACTATGTACTAAATTCCTATTTAAAAAAAGTACGAGATATTTCCTTATCTTTCTTCAATAAATAACTTTTTTGCCACAAAAAATGCACCAATAGCTATTTTCAACAACAAAATGATAAACAAACCATGGACGTAGTGAAGAAAAGCATTTACTTATCAAGTAAATTCCTTTAGCCAAATTTCTTCTGAAAGTAGTACAAACTAATCTGATGTACCTATTAAAGTCTACTTTAAGCTTTAAATCAATAAATCTTCAAAACTACTACTGAACTGGAGCTCATGTACGAGCCCCTTCCCACTTCAGTTGGCCCACTTCAAGATTTGTACGAAACTATGCCTTTATAAACTAAACATGACGAAACTATTTACTTGTAAAACAATTTATTTTCTCAAAAACATTCAAGATACACTCTAGTCGTAAAAAATACATATTTGAAATCACTTAGACCTATAACTAATAGAACATCTGAACAAATAAACAATGTGCGAATAAATGCGCGAAGTTAAGAAAGCAACAATTGAAAGATTACCATTGGTAACATCACCTTTATTTTTTATTACGGCTGAAATTCTTTGGGGCATAGTTTTAACCAAATTTTGGTAAAAATTTGGTGTAAAACAATCCCATATTTCTTGAAGCTTTTGTCTCAGTTCGGTGATTGTACGAGTAGGATGTTGTCGTAGAACCTTTTTCATCTCGTGCCACAAAGTTTCAATAGGTGACAGATCCGGACTGCTAGAAACCCATTTCAAAAGTGGTACATTATTTTCTTCCATTCATTTTACAGCCTTTTTTGAGGTATGGCACGCTGCACCATCTTGCTGAAACACCAAATCTTGGCCGGATGTAAAACATTCTTCCATCACTGGTAAATGCGATTCTTCTAATATTGCCAAATATTTGTTTGTATCCACATTTCCATCAATAAAATGTTTTCCTACTCCTTTTGATGACATACTGCCCCAGACCATAATGGATGCTAGAAATTTCACTTTTCTCTTCAGACAGTTAACATGGAATGCTTCATTTGTTGCGAATAACTCTACTGCGACTGTTACCAACACAAGCTTCGAATCGGGCCTCATCACTCCATTGTATTGCACACCATTGCTGAGGTGTTCATTGTCTATGTTCTTTAGAACATCTAAGCCGATTTTTCTTTTGCAGTGGAGTTAATAGTGGCTTTTCCTTGGCCTATAAACAAGTTGCGCAACTTTAGGGTTTTTACTTCATTTTTTATAAGAAAACTTACCTTGCAAGTGCTAAATCCCAGTTGGTGGGCCTCTCTATGAGTTGTGGACCTCGAAATTCTCCTTCCAACAGCGTCACTCTACAGAGCACTTAATTGTAACTAATTGGCACGCCTGTTTTTCATTATTATTCTTCTTAATGCTCTTCAGTCGGCATTTGTGATATTACTTTTTTCACATATCGTGGCTTAATATTAACTGAACCAGTTACGTTATATCTTCTAACAATATTTCTCACACACTCTAACAAAGTTGCAATTTCTGAGTTTGATTACCCAGAATTAAAAAATTTAATTATTAGTAACCGAATTTTCTCAATAATAACCTTTCCTCTACCCATTTTGAAAACCTTAACTACCCAAAACTATTTTAAACGTATTCCGACAGCTGTGATTAATAAAAACAATTGTCAGGGGTTTTAATTTTTCACAGCCACCTACGCGTTATAGACTTATTTTGCACTGAAATGAAAATAGGTTGATATGCTGTAATTGCAACATGTGTTATTTTTGTGCTGCAAATTTGATTAGGGAGTGATAAAGTTGGTGTTTTCTACTATATATTATCAAAATATTCATTGTTGATATTTTAAACCTATAACACCCTGTTACATTTTTATTATTTGTGTTTGATAAGAAAAAAACTAAGATTTCAATAGTTGGGCCAAATAAAGTGGGAAGGGGCTCGTATTTTACATCATTATAAAGGGAATTGAAAGACCTTTAAAATAAGGTATCACTCGACCCCCTTCCATTTAAGATTTTAGGGTTGGTGTCACCCCCGCCCAGGGGGCTGCACGTGTTAACGTGATTTTTTGCCAAACTTGTGTCCCCCTCGAAAACAAAATCGGCGGGTCTGAGCGTTTTTCAAAAAAAACTGAGCTGCCAGTAGGTAAATGCATCTGTTTCGTTTGCGATGCGCCACCCGGTCTGTATACAGTCAAGCGGCTTCACAAACATCTAACTGTTGATCATTTCCTCTTGTTACACTGCGACGCTTCTCATACCTTATTGCCATGTCAGGAGCCATGCAGAGCATGGTTAATAGGTATTTAGTGGCGTACACCCGCTTGGTTTATAAAAGAATCCCGCCTGTTCGGCATAACTTATATACATATATGTACTTACAATCCTACGCAGCCATCGCAAAAAGAGCTGAGCAAAGAGGAAAAAATGAGTTAAATGCCCGTTTTAAGACGGTGTGTGATCAACTGGGTCTTAATTTGGAAACTATAAACATGATAACTGTTCCTGATGTGAACCATGTTTTGCATCAATCTATTTATCTTTGTTTCATGGACAAAAGAAGGAATGTCAGTAACATTCAATAGCTATAAATGTTTATTTGATGTTTTTTAACCTATGTGATTTTTAAGTTCAATGCGTTTAAAGTTTTTGTCAAGTTCATATTGTCAAAATAAGTATTATTATAAACCATATGCATTTGTAGTTTAGTTTCACGCATTTACGTCTTACACCTGATAAATTAATATGTTTTATTAGTTTTGTACATTATTAAAATGTTTTACATATTTGTGGTATCAATTTCCCTTTGAATGGAAAACGAGCAGTATCAGAGTCCAATTTCTTAGAAACGGTAGCAGCAGCAGACAGCTAGATCGCCGACGTGACGGCCTGTCTGTCAGAAAATAGTCATCGATCAGTTGGACAGCTTCTTCTTAACAGAATCCAGCATGGATAATGTGTATGTGGAGGAAAGTACGTCTTAGCCCTAAACAAATAGCCTAGCTTTTTGCTAGCAGCGGCCGCTATTGACAAGAGAGAGAGAGAGTGTTCGCGCCAGGTCAAGTACTCGGTGATTTGTACTCCAACCAGCCAACGTTAACCGCTTTTTGGTAGAACTGGGCCATCCATCGACGGACGACCGCTTCTTGTTAGTCTAGGCTGTCTTGGAAGTATTGAACAAACAAGATAGTTGCGTCCCGAAACAGTCATAACCTCCAAGAAACGACATAGATTCACATTGCATCAGCCCGACGCACAACATTTAATCAAAAAGTAGTTATATCAAGAGAAGACACTTCCTAGACTGCCTTTAAAATCTGCCAGTCGGCCCCGTTGACTTTGAGAGTCATGTGTATGATAGTAGGGAAGGCGATCCTAAATTTGTTACATCATCGCGTACTGATATGATACGATAAAAACTAGTCATGTACAGCTACGTGTTTCGAAGCTAGACAGCAAACTTGTCGAGTAAGAGATGTAACTTTGCGGTTGGCTCTTGGACTACTATTACTGGTTTACAAATAAAAACAGCGAACTATGTGCGCACCATCCTTGGCTTGTTGATTCGTACACGGAAAACCAAATTTGTCTGACGCCTAGAGTTCGATGTGTACGAGAGAGACGCGCAAAAAGTGTGTAACAACACATGTTAGAAAGAGATAGAAGCCGGCTGAAGAGCTAAGGTTATCATCACATCGCCTAGCACCGGTGACGCAGAAGGTCATGCAATCTGCCGCGTCGCCAATATGTTACACCAGAAAATGTTCGCACAGGCTTCTACAATAGGTTAGGTTACTGTCAAACCTAATAAGAAATATTTAATTTAATATTTTGTTTTCATTTTGATTAGAATTATTCATTTCAATTTCGATGTTTTAATTTATTCTAGAAGTATCTTTGATTTCCACCGATGGGGGTAAAACAACACATATATCCTGAGTTATTGTTACAATTTGCGACGGCTAGCGGTCGGAAAAATTAACAAACACCATTACACAATACAAATTATCATTGCCTGCGTGTACGCAGGTGGTAGCCATTTCGAAGCAGGACGACACTCTCCAATAAGCGCTAGATGGGTACTGAACTGACCAAAATCGCTCATCTATGATCATGGAGGTGACAACCTTGCTTTGGAATGTACCACATGCGGTGTTGCCAAGTGAACCAATGATGTAATGTTGCAGAATTTGTGGCGGTCCTGACCTTTCATTTTGACCAAAAATGGAGCGCCATTAGAACCGATGGGGAATCAATCCTAAACAGACTCGACTCAATTAAAGACTAAAAAATGTGTACCCTCAAAATAAAACCAGTATTTGGGCGTAGAGAATAAACAAACGCATATTTTAAACATGAATCATAATTCAAGGAACTGGTGTAACATACTGGCAACGCGGCAGTTAGCCGTGTCAGCGTTGCTAGGCTACACGGTAATGAGCTTCGCTATCCAACCGGTTTCTATCTCTTTCTGAAATAGGTGTATACACAATGAACTCGAGCTGTCAGACGAATTTGGTTTTGAGTTATATGGCTCTTGCATGTACTAAGGTGGTGTTGCCATAAGATATTTATAAAATGCTACATTTATACTAAAAAGAATCTAGTTAAATGTTTTCACGGTTTTTGGTGGTTACGTCAAAAAGTCATTCGAAATAAAATATATCGTGTCAAGGCCATGGTGTAAAAATAACTCACGACCATCTCAAGTAGACGATTGGTCAAATAAGCAATTTGAGGTTAGGTAACTTTTTAAGCTAAAGTACTTCTTTTACAACTAAGCTGACTCTTGTAATATTCCGCTTAAGTTAAATAGCTATGTTATAACTTGGTTTTGAGAATAGTGTCTGTCACGAAAAGACTGATTTATATCTTTATTGTATGAAAAATATATTTCATAGTTTGCAAATGGATAAAAAATATCTCCACCACGAATAAATTCGCCTTGTCGGTCTCCTCTTTATATAACTTCTCTTTGATTTCACCTTGATTGCTGCGATGCTATAGGGTACATATCTCACAATAACCCAATAATATCCACCACTTCACATGGTGTTCTGCAGATAGTATATGAAATTCTTATAGCCTATCACTTAATTTATTTATATTACAGTCCATAAAAATACATTCAACTTAATGTACATTAATACATAAAAAGAATGTCTGATTACAATAAAATTTATTCGTTCTAAAATTAGACATCATCAATCACTTTGTTCCAAATCTTCAGCGGTACAATGTTAACAAGTCTTTCAGGGCATGAGTCACAGCTTTGGAAGTGTGTGCTTGGACAATCGTTGCATGAATGTCATTTAACTGTTGCGGTGTTGCCGTCATCAGTCCTCCATTGTTATGTTTAGGTAACGAGTCTAGTCCATTAGCTAACCATTTGCTCGTTGTGTCTCTGTTAAAGTCGAGAAGTTGGAGTATCACATCAGCCACCTCGCTCAGCATGTACGAATGTAGGTAGAATATGCACGAATGGATCAAATTCGTGACCAGTTGCTGACCATACTCGTCCAGCAGCCGTTCTATCAACGACCTGCGTTCTTGGTAATCTGGCTGGAGTTTGTTGGCTTGTCCCTTGTCAATAAGATCATAGAAAAACTTCATCACAGACATGTTCGCCTCCTTGTGGTCTAGCGTGGAGGCCATGAGCGCACACTGCAGGATTGGTATCAGAGAGGAACTCTTCAAGAATGGAATAGGAGCACGTTGCATGAACCTGGCACACAGCCTGAAGAAATCGTCCACTGTATCCGGGTGGTTCCGGAGGCCGTTTTCTACACGCAGCAGCTGGAAGGTGGGTTCAAGGAAGGCATGTAACATATCGAGCAGTCCTGGCACGCAGTCTGGTTCTGTCGCGTATTCATCCACCAAGATACTGCCTACATATAAGAAGCATGAATGAGGATAACTGGCGTAAATGCGAATCATCTGGCTAACTAAGCTATCCAGGATCTCTCGAACTTGCAGGCTGGCGCTTCGTAACATGAACCTCACAGATCGGCAGCATCTGTAATTACAAAAAAGCGTTAAGTAGATTGGCTCAATCAACAAAGTTGGACTAGGAAGGAGGAGCATGCATGCGATTTGACTTGATCAATCATAATCGGTAGTCAGAATGTATGTGCATACTACAAGTCGATCAGGCCGCCAGTTAGACAGTTCTACATTCGTATCTTTCTGCGAAAACGTATAAAAGTGAGTTGGTTTTGCTACAGTTCTAATGTTCCAGACATAATAATGGCGACGGTTTTTGTTTAGTGCAAAAATCGGTTTAGACTGAATAAAAGCAGATCTTTCATCGGTAACAACGGCGAACAGCAACAAAAGAGACTTCAAAGCTATTAGCATGTTGCTGAAAATGTATAGATTTGGAAAGCTTGTCTTCTGCATATAAATAATGATTCAAATATGGAACCAATTTCAGCACGAAATTCATATATTTTCAGCAAAAAGCTAATTTCTTTCTTCTGGTTGGACTTCACCACCCTAACTGATGATAAAGCATAGTCATCAGAATTGCGAAAAGGCATGTACCTCAATGTTAGGATATCTAGACAGTCACACAATAGTTTTAGTTTTTTTGTTCCAGTTTATTTCAGCTGAATCTAACTCTAAGGTTTGCTTCATATACCTAACAGAACATTGAGAAATGCAAAACATTGGAGACAAACCAGAATTTGTCATGAATAGTGAAAAGGGCTAACAAACTTCAACTTCGAGTCTTATCTACACGAAAATATTTGTATGAGGGAGCCCTGAAAGAATGAACACTTGAAGGACATTGAAAATCAACTTTGATATTTGAAAATTTGATTCAGACTAAAGAAACATTTAATAATAAAACAACATAATTACACTAGGTCTCGATGCAAAATACATTAACACAAAAATCCGTAGCGCTCGCAACATGTCGCATTGCCAGATATGCCAAAATGAAATCCGTACAGCAGGGTTAGGATACGCCCCCTGTCACTGAGAAGAACAAGAAAATAATAGAATTTATTTGCAGCTATCAGTAAAAAAACATAACAATAAGAATGGCATAAATGTACTAAAACAAAAAAAGCATCTACAAAAAGAACTAGTAGGCAGTCTAGGACTGATCAAGGTACCAGCCCTGTCATTGTTAGTCATTCAAATAGCACATGGTATTTGCAATTAACTATCATCACCTACATAAACGGAATAACAGCAAATAATATAAGATTGAAAAAACGCAATAGACCAAATACAGATTCTAAAGACATCTAGCACATTTGTACAGGCAGTTCAAGCAGAATGTTCACATAAAAACCGAGCATAAAGAAGATCTCTAACTGGAGTCGAGGAAATTTTCATATTTAAATTTGAAAGTTGACATGGAGCTTTTTTGCTTGGTTGTACAATCGACAAACATTATGAAGACCTAGTGAAGATAGCTGATTTATGTGATTTCATATGAAGTTTAGGAATGATCTGAAATTTTGTGTCTTTTGCTCGAAACTTCGAAGCCACTGCATTACTGTTGAAAGTAGCATTATTCACTATAACCCCATAGCATATCCCTCTTGAATTCCATCAAAATAGATGCAACCGTTTCTGAGATTTCGCGGTTTCAAAGACGTCAACAAACTGTCAGCAATAGGAGACATGAATTTTTAAACATTTTTTGCTTTTCATAACTAACATCTATAGCCATACTGACAGAAACATAGTTCAGATTGAAGATACATTGTGATTAACATACCTTTCCATAATCCTAATGTCATTTTGAAATTTGTCAAAAGCTTGTGACAAAACTGGCCATACTTCTAAAATAACTGGTTTCAGCGGATGAGGTTCACCTTCTCTCAGATTGACCTTGATGAATTTGAATATAGCTCCAAGTCTGTCCAACCATAACACTGGATCTGTCTTTGTACCTTAAAAAATAACAATGTGCAGATCAATACAACTATACACTCTCCCATTTTAATCTCCCCACCTAATTATTTCGAAAACAGCACTTTCTAGGAAAAGAGTTTCAAAAAAGGGTTGTAGGATTTCTAGGGGACAAAATGACAATGACTACAACATTTAAGGTCCTTTCAAGGTCAAGTGAATATATTCAAATGGAATTCTTCACATCGGAATTGAAAAGACGAGCAAATTTTACGTGCGAGCATTACATTGGCCATGTCCTTGACCATCGCCTTCAAGGTTAAAACAACACGTCGACAATAATTTGTCAAAAGAGTGTAATAACACAGTTGTGAGGGTTGTGGCTACCCTGATCATGAACTTCAAGTTGCGTCAAAATTTCCGAGGGAAACATTTCATGGAATTGGAGAAAGGCGGAAATTTTACGTCCGAATGTGACGTTGACCTCAAAGATTTAAGCTTGACATGACCTTGATTCTGAGTTCAAAGTCACATTTCACAATAAGATTTTCTGCTACTACTAATCTCACAACTGTGCTGTCCAACATTTTTGCTGGAGGTAATTATTTTCAGTGTCTTGATTTGACCTTGAAATGATCTTGAAAGCTATTGCTTGTCAAGGTCATTACCAAAGAAGTCTGTAAAATTTGCTCCTTTTTTCAATTCTGATGTGATAAATGAGGGGTTCTGTTTGAAAATATTCACTTGGGATTTCGGGAGCTGTCAGAAATGCAAAGTCGCTTAAATGAGGACAAGTTGCGTATTTAGGTAATCAACAATATACCACTCAGAAAGTTTTGAAATTCAAAATAGGAATCATGAGAACATGGAACTCCATTGTTCAAAATATTAAAAGTACAAAAAAAAAATACAGGGAGTTTTTTATCATACCACATCAAAACTTTTATAAGCTGTCCAATCAGGCTACAAAAAATATAGAACTTTTTTGTAGCTTTCATATGATTTGTGAGAGAGCTGAATTATTTATCAAATATCCAATAGGAAGTAGACAGCCTTATGAAACTATCACTACTAATATAATAAAAGTTATAAATATTTGAGCCATTTCTCAAACACAGTTTTTGAACTGGATTACTCACTGGCACTAACTATACATGCTCACTTAACTGCTTCCAATTATAGACCACTTGGTTTGGCCAAAAAGGTTCTTAACAGCTTGGCACACCTCCTTTCAGAATTTATATTGATGTCCCCAAAGTTATTGATTGGTTGATAGATGGACAATTTGCAAGGTGCTTGTATAATGACAGTCTATTATCCTATATGAATTTTGTTTATGGAGCAATTATAACTATTTTTAAAGTACATAATGCTAATAATTTTTTAATATCAGAGAGTTCTTTTAATTTAATTTAATCATTTAGATGTAGAAGAATTTTTTATCCTTAATAAGCTGGTTGTCTTACCTCTCACAGGAACTATATTCTGTTCAATCAACTCACTCAAAGGCTTCAGCTGCATGAAACAAAGTTCTCTAACAGCTGCACTAATATCATTATGTGAAACTTTTCCCATGATAGCAGCAACACCTTTTAGTAGTCCTATAACAGCATTGTTGGTAATGGCAAATGTATCTACTTGACTCAGTAGTTGAAGCAGTACTGGCAAATGATGTGGCATATATTCGCTACAAGCACCACAAATATTTTCAAGAGCCACTGCTGCTGCAGCTCCTGTACCTGCATGAGGAAGGCAACATACCAAAAAGTTGAGTACTGGATCTAAAGTATCAGGATGTTTTTCAATCCATTCACACAATTCACCCAATAGTAAAACTGACGTGTATCTCACAGCTATATGTGTGTTTTCAGGAATACTAAGAATTGCCTCTGCTACTTTTGGAACAACTTCATTTTCACTTGGCAAGACATTCTTAGCCACAGCCTGCATGATGAATAAGGCAGCCTCGCTAACTTCCCAAGTCACTCCAGGTTCCTGCAAACTCATGAACATTTGCCTAAAACAACTGCTGCTGCCTACTATGAACACAATGTCCTTTATCAAATCTGATACTTTCAATCTAAAGTCTTTGAACTCATCTCCATCATCCAATAATCCTTCGTAATCTGGCTCCATTTGACAATGACGACATAATGCAGTAATCAGCCTTTCAATGTAAGGTCTAAATAGCTCTGTTATTTCTTTATTATTCCTTTGATACAGTTCTTCACTGAGTACATACCATAAGTTGAATGTTATCTCAGCTACTTCATAGTCATGATGCCCTACACAGATTAAAACGAGATCTAATACTTTTGTTGCATAGTGCATTTGCTTAGGTGAGCTTTGTGAGACAATTTTTTCCAGCATTGTCTCTGCTAGTTCTGTAAAAAGCCTACAGTAGTCCATTGCTTTCCCTTGGTCTTCATTTGCTACAGACATATGATAAGGTACTTCTAGATTTACTATATTGTTAAACAAAAAATTTTCTAGTTCCATTTGGTTATTGTTATCTTCTAAACAGTGTAACAAGGTACATATGCAATCTGTAGCAGCCTCATGAAATGCACCAGCTAATGTTTCCTTTTCATTTTGTGGTTTGAAATTCAAAATCTCAAATGCTCTATTTATTATCATATGATCTGCAATATCATTTAAGCTTATGGCTCCAATAGAAATCCATGACGTGAAGCATCTTAAAATTTTCACATTCACTTGTATGTGGTCATGCCAATTTGTTCCATACATGTTACAACAATGTTTCAAGAAATCACTTACTGTTGGTGCACAGAATTTCATGTCGTCTAATACCTCCATTCTCCTATTTTCGCCTAATCTAACAGATCTAGTTTCTAATTCTTCTGGTAGCACAGTTAGCACCTCAAGAAGTGGCCAAATGTGATTTTGGGAAAACCTGGTGATTAAATCCAAGGCCGGCTTCTGCCAGGAGGGCAATTGGAGAATTAAATCAGCTAAAGCAAGGCACAACTGAGTCACTACAACTGTACTAGCTGCTTCAGTGATTTGACTGACGTGATTTAAAAGAGAATCTCTCAGCGAAGTGTGTACTTCTAGTGGTAATTCATGGAAAGACTGATGGATTTTAGTCCTCATAGTTTGTGCTGCAAAGTAACACGATTCCACATCCTTCTTCGCTTGTAATAGCTCATCTGCAACAGTCCAAGCGTGTACAGATTTCTGGAGTTGTAACAACCATTGGGAAGCCTGTTCTTTCTCACTTCTGTTAGGATTATTGTAAAGAGTGCTTATTGCTGATAACACTATATCTGTCGCTGGTTTCTGCTCCATGTTGCTTGGTTGTACGAAAATTCCTTCTACAAACGAATAGTTTTCTGTTTCAGATTCAAACAATATTCCCGTTTATATTTTATCATTTTCAACTTTGTTTTTATTCAGTACAATCAAGAAACAAAAAGGAACATCAATCCGTCTTGACTTTTGACACTGACGTTTTCTGTCAATCGCCGCCAATATCATAGAACAATAAGCGGAAAATCCGGAAATGCCATATACCACAAACAGAAATAGATATGCGTACTATTCATACAAGCCGTGGTAAACGGATAGAGCGCCCATGCGCTAGAGTTTATAACTATATGTGTGTAGCTCTAGCTCTCTTATACGAGGTATGGCAGAAAAATATTTACACTAATTAACAAGATTTTTATATTCCCATACATCAATGCTAAATCCTTTAGAGTAGTTTTAGCGCTGGAGGCTTTCAACCGGTAGGGTCTTCACAATATGCATCTCACACTCCTTTGAGTGTGTTATAAGTCCCCAAATGACGATTGGAGGACACTTTTAATTTTGTAAAATGTCGCAGTGACTGAGATTTGGTGAAGGGGGGACGGGGAGGCTGGTGAACTACATGGTTTGCTTTTTGAGACAAAAAATTGTGTGACGGAGATGGCAGTGTGACATGGGGAGTGTTGATACAGAGCATCCGCACTCGTCTGCAACGACTGGTCTCACGTGATTGACACATTTTTGGAGCCCTTACAAAAAACTTGGAAGACAGTTTATCCTGGAGAAACAAATTCGTTGTAGATGATTTTCTTTTCCCGTAAGAAAAATTATCCGACCTCGCGACACACCTTACTTTACCTTGTGGTCTTAGGATCGTGCTGGTGATTATGTTATAAAGTATTTTTATCTGACTGCCACATAAGGAAGATAAAAAGCTTGTCGTGTTTGAGCAACGTAGCATTCGATCTGGTAACAGTGGATGCGCCGGGGCTTTAGGGTAAGCTGGAGAACATGTGATCCGCCTTCAATACAAGTTTGAACTCGTTGGACTCATTTGGTTGTCTATAGCGATTTTCTTTGAGAAACAGTTTTTTCTATTGTGTTCTCAAAATGAGTGACGACCACCGGTGTGCTATAAGGTTTTACTTTAGCCTTGGCTACACTGCAATGGAAACTCTTACTAAACTTCAGCAGGCCTACGGAGGTAGTGTTTTGTCAAGAGCCCAGGTATAAAGCATTTTCAGAAGGCAGAGAGTCGACTGAAGCTGAACCACGAAGGCATTTATCGTCAAGAACCGGTGATAATATCGACAGAATCCGGGACAATGTCAATAAACGAGTTTTTGGCCAGTAAAATCATTTTCGTTGCTCCTCAGCCTCCTTATTCGCCTTACTTGAGTCCTTCTGACTTTTTCCTCTTCCCGAAGATGAAAGATCACCTCATTTTGGGTCAGTCGAAAATATTCAAACGGCTGTAGCCGACCAGCTGATGGCAATTCTAGTATCGGAGATGTGGCTTCAGAAGAAAGTTATTTTGAGTGTGTCAGTTTAAAATTGTTATTATATTTGACTAAAAAAAAATAGTCTCATAAGTTAATTTACAGACCCATATATATCCGAAAGATTATATTTCACGAGCTACGGGCCAAACGATTTGATGGATCTTACCATCATAATGATTCGTCTTAGCATTGCGAGTGGTACTGACTGTATTAAAATGGTGGTTTTCAGTAAAAAATACTTTTAAATTCCAATTTCAGGGGCTAAATGTTAAATAGCTTGATGGATTATGACATACAATGTGTCCCTACTTTTAATCGAGTGAAACTGGGTACTAAAATATAGTAAAATTAGAATGGCGGCTATTAAACTTAAACCTTGAAATTTCAATTTTACGGGCTGTGGACTAAACAGCTTGATCGACTTTGATATTTGAGGTGTCCTTTTAGATTCATCTTGATATCACAACTCTTTTTAGTTACTGCGGTGGGCTATTTTGTTTTTTTTTTAAAAATGAATCCAGTGCTCAATAGCTCATTGTAGGGGTTTTTGGAATCATTTCGGTGCAGATCTTTCGAATGTGCAAATGTTCAGTTGAAATTTGTGGAACGGTGAATCTGTTCAAATTTAACTGGTCACACTCAACACTCTTAACGACGGTAGGTATCACAAGAGTGTTCATATGTTCGAAGTTTCCGTCGTATTTCGAAGTGGAGGCCACCCGGAGTATTCAACTTAAAAAATGACTGCACCTGCGATAAACTTGCTGGGGCATCCCCTCAGAATCCAGTTGGACTTTAAAGTTTGCATATTTAGCACAAGTTGCGCTGTTCCTTTTTGAGTGATGTACATCCAAAACACAACTCTACTAGCAGTCCCAAAAATCACGTGTTTATAAGTTAAAACTCGCATTGCATCGAGCACTTACCGACGGGAGAGGAGTGACACACATTGGTTGATATGAAAAATTAACTTAATCAAAATTCATCTATTTTTTTTTTCATACTTGAAGCACCTCGAAGGCCTAAACAACCATGGGTACCGTGGGGCTATTGGGGATACAGGGGGAAATGGGGGACGCCACACGCACACTAGCTAGGGAACACGTGTGCATGAAACATGCACTCATTCTGTTCCCGCCAGTGGCGACGCGTGTCTTTTTTAAACTGTTACCAAAACCAGATGCGAAAAATCTTATAAAAAAGGTTTATTTTGGCCCTCCCAGATACCTATGTTTTTGCTTATTTTAGATATTGTATTTAATCTTTTTTTAAATCAAGGTAAAAATTGATGGAGTGGGCCTGGGGCACTTGATATACCTCATCGTCTTATGCTATGAGTAATCCAAGCCTTCCGAAAAACAGAAAACGTTTCTAGATGTTCGGAATTTTTTTTGTCTTTTTTGGCAATTAATCTTAACAATTCCCTGTAATTTTCCCTATTGTCAGAGTCATCCCCTTCAAAAAGACCCCGAAATGGTAATTCTTGTTTGGCCAAAAAACAGCATCTATAAGGGTGCTGCCTAAAAGCTTGGTTAAGACAACTTTCGATTCTTGTTTTGCCAAACTGAATCAAATTGGTTACACATCTCACATGTAAAGGAGAAATTTCATGTCTTCTCTTTAGAACCCTAAAAATATTTAAATCGTTGCTGGTCCACCCATTTTCTGTAGAAAACAGAAGACATGACCAACAATACAATCTGTTTTTCTTGCAACCACATAACCAAGAGTTTTCAATATACCAACTAAATTTCACAAAACGAACTACTTTTTAAAATTATCTAAATAAGTGTTGTTATTCCATTTTCAATGACCTCTTTTTTTCTTCAAAATTATACACTTTTCAAGTAGTTAATCGATTACGCAGCGACAGCCGGCAACCAAAACGATTACTAACGACGAACGAGGGAGAAGTGAGTAACCAAAACAAAATAGGAAACAAGTCCACCTAATAATCGTGGCAGCCCAAGCACTTGGACGACCGCGATCAGACACGAGCCGGATCCGACGGTCCCCGACGGACTATCAAGTGTATCCATAAATGAAAATGGCAACAACCGACAACAAAGTCGAGGCGAGGCGGCTTCATCGCGTTTGCAAAATCTAGTCAGTATTATAGGTCGCATTATTTTCGTGGGGCTAATTTGCTATTTTCTAAATTACTAGTACATATTGCTGTTGGTAAACAAATAATGAAATTATTTCACAGTATTCAGGCCCGTATCGTTAGTCGTCCCTACAATTGTAGGGCGCGTTTATGGCCTCCTTGATTGTCATACTGCTTTCTCTCCTTTAAAAATTTCTAGATTACACTTGTCCCGTGTCAGCGTCAGCGCTCTTCTATTGTGAAGATATGTTTTCTTTTTAAATTGTAGGAAATTTCATGCTGATAAAACATGATATAACTCAAAAGCAAGCACAATTTGATGCAAATAGATGTTTGTGACATAACCTCAAAATAAAGTTCTGACACGGAGAAGTAGAAAACTATGACAATCAAGGAGGCCATAAAGGCGCCCTACAATTGTAGGCACGACTGACGATACGGGCCTAAGTCATAAATTATTTAGTTTTAAGATTTTTTACTGTTACCAATGGTAACAATGGTTACATAAGCGCGTCGCCACTGGTTCCCGCCATAGACAATTGAAACATCCATAGCCAAGAGAACAAATTTTCTTGGGACGGGATTCGAACCCGCGCAGCGCACGTTGAGTGATCAGTAGACCCATAATCTCTACCACTACGTCACCGCTGTTGTCTAATCTATGCCATTAGATATAACTTCCTACGCTACTGGACGGGGAAGCATTATAATCAAGTAAAATTTGGAAAATGGGTTACGTTTTTTGGATGCTATATGACATGTACATCACGAAAAACCATGCGACTCATTTCAGTCGTTCTGTCTGCCTGTCCGCTAATCCTTGATTCCGATATAATTTAGTACTGGTCAAATTTTAATGAAATTCACTCAAGGTTACTACTATGCCAATGACGAAAATGCTTTATAGTGATTAAAAATTGGTCATGTGGCGGCGGGAAAAAGGCTAAAAACGAAAAAATAAAAAACGATCAAACTTCGCTTTTTTACAAGGCCTGCGAGCCATCATATGCTCTACAAAGAGTACTATAAAAGTTTTGCAATATGCAGCAGCACCACGTCTATGATTTAGTTGTAGATTCGTATTGACAATGTAAAGTGCGGACTATGGCATCGTGATCGAGCAGTTAGATAAGGGCAGATCTACGGTAAAACTTGACGCATGGTTTAAGCATAGACCAGTGCTTAGAAGCAATGATTCTTACATTGAAGAAATGATTGTTCTCATCGTACGACTATATTCAGGTGGTGCAAAGAATTCCAAAGGGGCATTTCACTCTGAAGGACGCTGAGAGGGAAGGAAGGCCGCGAACGTCAGTAACAGACGAAAACAATACTGCTGTGAGTAAAATGCTTGACGAAGACCGGAGAGTGATATAGCAACAGATAGAGGAGACCGTACACCTTCATGCACCAGCAATTCATTCAATTATGCATGACCATTTACACGTAAGGAAACTTTGTTCTCTCTGGGAACCCCACAGTCTGACGGAAGAGCAGAAGACTCGTCGTATCACTAGGTGCCGATAGATGCTGAAAATGTTTGATAAGGCGCAATATTGGTATATGAACAGCATCGTGACAGGTGACGAGACTTGGCTC